CGCGCCATGCTGACCCACGCAGTACCTGCAACTATCTCTCTTCATCGTTTCTTTAGACCGTTTGGTAACGTACTGGGAATTAGATAGATTAACTTCCTCCCCCTCTGGACAGAGTTAACGGCTTAAACAAGGACTGTTTTGATACTTGGTAAGTTACTGATGTGTTTTATTCAGCGTTATGTAGTTATTGTTATGTTGATTGTTGATTGATTTAACTGTATGGTACTGTAGAACTGTAGTTCTTTCAGACAGCTGCTTAAGGTGATGTAGTTTTAATGTTATGCTTCATACAAACACTGTCTGCCTAACAACTCATACCCCCTTTTTTAATGGCACTGTTAATCTAATACCACTACATATCACCACTCTCACTTCGGTGCCTAAACCTTTAGCACACATCACGTATGTGTGTGATGTGTGATGGTAATCTTCAAACCCTCTCTGGTCCTTTCATTACTCTCTCTCTCACCATCACGTTTTCTTATACTTCTGATAATCATTTCTGGTCAGTGTGAGGTGACAAAGGACACACCTTTTCTTGGCATCGCCAACCCCCATGCACACATCATGCACACCCTTTTCCCCTCTTACCAGTTCCTTTTAGTATCGTCACATTGTTTGTATATTTCCTCTGTTCGTTTATTATTCCTATGTTATTAAATGTTTTGTTGGTATGAAATGCTGCGGCCGTATTGTAAGTTGTCTACAAGATGTGTTGGGATGACGTACCTCTTCTATGAGCTATTAATAGATGATTTTTTTTTTAGGTAGGTTGATTAAATGTGTAATGTAAGTTATCGGATGCGTATGGGGGGGGGGTGGGTTGGTGGTTTAGTGTATTTTTTTATCACGGATCTGACTCACCATCGGATTATTTCGCGTTATCGTTTCCCTTATTTAAGGGTTGGGTGCCCCGAGTGATCTTTAATATTAATTAAGGAGCTAAATTTTTTCTATTATCTTTTGGCATAATTATAAATTTTGATGAGCCTGACACGGGTATAAGAAGAAGCACTGATTCATGGGCGGCCCCCCGGTGTAGCTCAGCGCTTGCGTAGGAGCTGGCGACCCATGAGGCTGAGCTTCCTCTCTCTGCCCCCGCTTCCTGTCTGGGTCTTCAAGCTGTGCACGTATCATAAAGGCGACAGTAAAAGCCCCAAAAAATACTTTTAAAAAAAATGCGACTGCATCTCATCACACCTCATACTTAATTAGAGATGTATGGAAAAACTGCTACACTGTATATACACCCGCAAGGGTGGCAGGTCTCACTTTCAGCCCAAAACAAAGCTGAGCAGTTCACCTCAATCAGGAAAGAGCGTTACTCAGGCAGGCAATAACAAACCCCTACATTTTGACACAGGTCCATTACACAAAAAGCATGTAAAGGGCCTCTGCCACACCAACCCGACGCCGGACCGTCGCAGAAAGAGCAGTCGGGACTGACTCAGCGGCTCCGTCTCTCGAGCTCGGCCCCAAACACACCAAACCGACGCGCAAATGGAGCGTACGTTCTGCGCGGTATGCCGCGAGGCGTAATACGTCCCCATAACAGCAGGCGGCGCTAATCTGTGTTTGCTCGGCCTAAAAAAAAAATTTAAAACCGGAAAGGACGGATCACTCTAGACCTAGTAAACACACGGAGCACACGGTTCGCTCGAGTTCATTGTTTTCACCTCAGGAGAGTGTGATAGTAGTCAAGAAGGATCGTTATATGCTCATGTTGACTAGCTGAACGGAAGAACTATACATGGGCTAATGAATTAACAAGATACTGGCGTTGTTCTACCATCGTCACTTCCGGTTTCTCGTGCACTCACTAGATTCGGCCTAGGCAACGAGGCTAACACTCCAATCAGATTGCGTCATTGAGGGCCGACGGCAGTGGCCGATCACATGTTGAATCGGCCAAAAGAAGGCCGGACAGCCGCCGCCGACTGACGACGGCACGCGACGGAACGGGACACACCGAACCGACTCGAGCCACCGACCTCGCCTGACTGTCCGACGACGTCCGACGGCCGATAATCGGGTTGGTGTGCGGAGGCCATAAGACCACAGTGAAAAATAAACTAAAAAATAATACATTTAAACCCTACATGAAATCTGTAGTCAAACTTTGTCACCTAAAGAAATATGTTTTTATCTATCTCTTGGCCTTGCCTTTTCACTGCTTTGTGGCAGCATGAAATGGCATTCAATACAGGATCACATACAGGCATCAAGTGAAAGCTTCACAGTGGCTTATAGAAGCAAATAGTTTGTCCCAGAAGTCTGACCTCCATCCAATGAACTGCCAACAGTAAACCATATATCTACAGTATATCACTGGCTGATGATGTCCTGAAAACCTTAACTTTCAGTGTGTAAGGTCCAGTGTGTAACATTTAGAAGGATCTATTGGCAGAAATGGAAGATGATCCTCATAGGGTTAGGGTTAAAACTGCTATGTTCAACACAGGCAGTTAACGACAACAATTCCCTCCATGGATTCTATATGTTCTCAAACCCAAGAACATTTCATTTACTTTCATATATGACAAGGCAAAGAAGCATTCTTGCTTAAAAATAAAAAATATTAATCTTAACTGTTGCAGATCTTGTAAACACCTACTGACTCTCTTTATACATTTTAACACATTTCACCCCAAGCTCTCGGTTATATGCATTCAAAAACAAAAAGGTCATTAGGTTTGATTTACTTGACATGTATCTTTAAAGTTCCAGTGTGTAGGATTTAGTGGCACCCTCTCTTAAATGTCACACACTCGACCTTAAGGAACCGATTTAGAAGAACAACAACTCATAACAGAAGTAACTGATGTTAGCAGCGGACCATGAAATCATGCTGCTAAAGCATGGAGGAAGTGAGAACTGAAAGGCTGTTTCGGAAAGGATGTTGTTCCTTCTCTTAACTGACTCCACTTTGCCGTTGAGTTGCTATTGTGTTTTGAATCTGTGTAGATGCCGAGTTGCAGGAAGTGTCAATGTGTTCACCAGCATATGTTAGAACAACATCTTTAATATCTGCGCTGTGGTGCTTTGAAGTGATGCCTCACTTCTCTGAAACACAGCAGCTGTGTCAGTGTGGTTAAGGTGTGGCACTATCTCAGCAAGGATGAGGTTAACCACAAGCACTTAATGACAACTGCCATGAAACTGTTATCAAGTGCAAATGGATAGTCACCACTTAACACCATTGTGTACAGTTTGTGTCAATAAGCAACCAGTTTGCTTATGCAAGGTGGAAATACATTTAATGATGACTATTTAAAAGATGAAAGATGCTGTATTTCCAACTTTTCATGAATGCAACCAGTGACTACAGACTTGCTTTGGGACCTTTTTATGTTAGTGTAAGCTGTTATTAAAATCACTGTAAACCACAGTCTCTCAAGGGTTATTAACTGCAGGCTTTAAATTTGCAAACACAGCAACATGCCAACAGTGTGGGTTTCAATACAGTCCATCAAGACTGAACACAACTCTACTGTGAACAAACAATATGCGTTATTTCAAGTAGAGAAACAAAATTTTAAGAGTTCAGTGGATTACTTTTGCTCTCAAAAAACCTTCTATTTATTCTTCTCTGAGAATAATATTAATGAATATTAATTTAGTAAGACGGATGTGACAAGACCAATTGTAGACTTACTTACAGATTAGCTTGAACTACTCAGGTATGTTACAGGCATTTGCCTATACTCTGTGTTAAAATGTTGTGCTCTAAGACAATAGAATTGTTTTGTACTTAAAAAAGCCCTTTTCCCATAGAGATTAAGAAGTGTATAGCATTAACAGTTTGTATATAAATGTGTATGTACTGCGTACATATATACATATATATGAATGTTTGTATTGTAAGAGGGTGTAGGTGTACCAATGTTAAATACCCAAAGGCAAAAAAGGTTGCAAACACACTGATTTCCAGGACATAGTAGACTAATCTCAATTTCACCAGTTTATTCTGGCCATGGCACTTGCTATCTTTTCAGAGCATGTAGGGTTAGGGTTCAGGGTTAGAAACATTTTGCATGTTTAAGGTGTAGGTGTAATAAGCTACAGCTTCCACCTACATTCATGGCCAAAAGTTTTGAGAATGACACAAATATAAA